TTGGAGTTGAGAAGATGGACAACTATACAGTGCAAGTAGATTACCATCTCTTCAGAGTTTAGCCTAAGGCCAACTGCAATCTGCATGGTTCAGGAGCGGTGGCAAAGGCACCCCTGGAAAAGTGAATCTATGATACCTTATCCACTGAGCAAGCAGGAGGAACCCAGAAGGGAAGGAAAGAAGGGGCCTCTCAATCTGAACTGCTCAACACAAGGAACAGATTCAAAGCATCTTGCTGAAAAGATCTAAACTGAGACTGGAGCTACTATTCAAGAAACACAGTTTAAAGTTAAAGCCTAGCCAAGAAAATTAACTACTAAAATAACCACTTATTGAAGAAAAATAACCAAATCCAGAATCTTTACAACTTAATCTTTATAATGTCCAGGGTACAATCCAAAATTACTCAGCATATAAAGAACAAAGGCAACAGAATGTTTTTCTTCTCTATAGGAAAAAATGGCTACTATTATTCTCCATGATGCTAAAAAAAAGAAAACTCCTCTCAAGGAATGACAATATTAACAGAGAAATAAATTATCCCAGCAGAGAAATATAAACAAAAAGTTTTAATTGATTCAGCCACAGAACACTGATCAATGGGTGAAAGACTACAGGATATTCACATAGTCTCAAAGTATCATTTCACAGATTACTCAATAATTGCAAACAGAAAAAGGTACCTTTATAATAGAGAAATCTGGCAGACAACATTTAAACCAAGTACTAAAACTCAGCATTGACAGTAAAGGGACAAACATGGATATGATACAATGTATTATTATTATGACACTGTAGTATGCCAATTTTTCTATAGGTTTGAAATAGTTTCCGAAAAGTTGGAGGGAAAAGTGTAAATACGATATTATTAAAGTTTATAAAACACAAAATGAAAAAAAAAATAAAAGAAAGATTATTATAAATCAGGAAGGAAAGGATTAGAGTAGTTGTCCTGGAATCTATTCACTTCCTCTGCTAGGAGGAAACTAAAGGAAAGGAGGGTGATGTAGTTTAATCTACCTGTTAACATGCTGGTAACTGGTCTTCCTGGTAAATAGGCAAATGATTTTTGTTAGGAGTAAGATCCTTATCCAAAGAATGCTCTTAGTAGGATGTCCCTTGTTAAGGATGCTTACAATAAACAAACCCAGAATCTATGGATTTATGAGGCACGGCACACTAGAAAAGCTATACAACTTTGAGGTGTCAAATGGAGAAGTTTCAAAATCTTAATGATCCCTGCTATGTGTTAGTAATTAGACTTCCTCATCTAAAGACTCTTCTTGGCTAGAAATTACACATCTGATGCGGAAAGGAAGGACTTGTGGAATCACGCAGGGTCCCAGATCTCTCCTTGCTTTACCTGTGCCTTCTGATTGCTTAAATCCTTGAAATTATCAGTAAAGCTGGATTCTAGATAAGACCTCTAACGTGAGTCTGATTTGATAATATACTTTGTATTGGCTCACAAATAAAAGATAAACTGTCAAAAATAATTACAGTTTAAGATCAATAATAATTTTAGTATTATTTCTTCAGTAGAATAAATGAACTCAATGTTAATTTGGCACAGCTAATTAACATAGTACCGTATACTTACAGGATATAATAAGGTATCCTTTACCCTATGGAGAAATTTTTTTGAGTATTCATAGGAAAAAACTTACCAAAATCACAGTATGTGAAATTACAGGGAAAAAAACCTCAAATTTTTAAAAAGCATATATAATCAGACATATCACAAAATTCTAAAT